CTTGTCAGTCACCTACTATGTCAGTGATTCTCACATTTTGTATCATTTTCCTGTGTAAACTGTTTTCTGTTGAATATTTGCATATAACTTGTTTAAGATTACCAAGATGAAACAAGAAGAAACAGATATTGTATATTTAATATCAGTATTGCAAGTAAAAGTAATAACAATTGCTGATATAAATTAAAATTTCATCTAAATGTTATATTTAATAGTTTTTGCTTAAATTGTCTTTGTGTAATTTAATTTAAATTTCATTTTATTATTGGAATTTTGGTAATAGCTATCGTTGTTAATAAATTACTATCATAAAATTGACCTTTTGAAATGGGAAGATAAAAGTTGATATGCAGCGAGTGATTATGGTAAGTTACCTCTCGCTTATGGATGTTAATAGATTTAAAAAAATTTCCATTAGCAGAGATTCCAGTTTTGAAAAAAAAAAAGGATTTTTTTAGAATGTAAATGATTTAGCTATTCCATTTACATAAGCTATTGAATTATCATACATTTTGTATCTGAATTTTAATTTTATTATAACAATAGTGCCAATTTAAATAAATATAGTCAGTAGTAGTCTTGCAGAAGTATATCTTGCAACATAAACCATGTTAAATTATTACACAATTAATATTAACAGATAAATAAGTGGGATGTTACAATTATTGGAAAAATGTTTAAAGAAATCTAAAAAACTGAATTTAGTGGGTAATCATAGTTGCAATTTAAAGTTACTGAGATTTTGATTTAAGAAAATCAAAATTTAACTATGACTTACTGTTGAGTGTTTGTTATTGTCATAGCCTTGTCTTAGATCAAAGTCTACAGGAAATGGGCCTATTATAGATTGCTTAATTGGTCACATGATCATGTACACTCAAGTATATATTCAAGGGACAAATTTGAATTTGACAGTACAGATGTTTGGTTTTTTTTGTCTCTCATTGTACAGTGGAATTTTCAATTTCACATAACTCATTAAATTCCAGTTATAAATGTTATATCAGAATACATTTTAAAAACAATAGGTCAAAACCACACTAAAATATATTCAACGTTAAAAAGTAGGTTAAGAGAACGAGGTATAAGACATAATGGGTGTAAGGCTATTCTATGCAGGGGACACAAAATATTTGCAAATGGGAGATTGACATTTTTGGAAATATATATTCTTAGTGATATGGCAGTGTGGTTATGTGATCTTTTTCTGACCTGCTTCAATCATTGGTCTAATTTTCAATATTTTCTTTTTTCAAATGCACCTCCCCTTCCATACCCTCCTCCACTGGCACTGACTACAGTTAAACTTGCTTAAGTCGATTTTCCCTAATTTATAAGTCACTTATTTTACTTGCCAAATTGTTGTGTTTTCCAGTAATTAACAATCTGTAAGTCAAATTTATCTATAAGTTGAACAATTTTCAATGGCATTTTGGACTCAACTTGGGCAAGTTGAACTGTATAAGCACCAGACCATTGAGAGTTAAAACTGTGGTTTTGTAGTTATTGTAGAGTACCACAGTCGTGTCCTCACGATGCCAGGTGGCGCTCTCTGTTGTTAACCGACATAGGTTACCTTTCATTACGCCTGAATGACTGCATAGGTTTTCTGGAATAGGCATTTTAAAATCTAATATTTTTCGATCAAAATGTGCTAAAAACACAAAAGCTTCCATAATATTAGTTATCGAACACACATTTAATCATCAGTACAAAGAAAAAAGTAAGATACATCTTAATAATTACATTATAAATTAGGATCAATGGTTTGTTAGTGGCAAAAATGGCGTCGGGTTGAACGCATTTTGCAACGATAGCAATGAAGTAGTATTGTGTGGTATCGTGACGTAACACTGTAGTACTCTATGGTCTCCTCCAATCCCAAGATGTTGGGTTCCATATTTTTCATGTAACCAATCATAACGCTTCTCTCAAACCATCATAATGACTTGTTTAATGAAAATTGAAAGGTTTAGGGAGCTTAGTAAGATCGATTGTCCTTGCTTATATACAGTGTGCTGTTTTAAATACAATTGCTTGAATCAGAATTTTTTTTTTAATTCCTTTCTTGTTCTAGAATATAATATAGAATAATATGTAAGATTTGACAGTTTAATTCATAGTCTTATGATTGAACTTTTGCTACATGTTGAATGCGAAAAGAATTAAATAAAAAAATTCATGGCAGTGTCCAGGGTCATAGGTGAATTAATGAAATTAAAACATTAGCAGTAGAAGTCGTGTGTTATGTTTAGCAAGTAAATTACTTGCTTATTCAATTTTATCTGGGTAGTGACAATATTTTCTCAACTAATAATATTTTCTCAACTAATAATATTTCCTCAACTAATAATTTACATTTACTTGAGTTTCCTATCCTTGTTATTCCATAAAGCAAAGTAATAAATCAATATACAAATTTCTTCTACTAAGCAAAATAACTGATTATTTCTTGTAATCGTCAAGCTATCATAATAAAATACAATGGGACATGTAGCAACTTGTATCCATGTTTTTTTTTATGGCCTCAAGGACAGTTATCGAAACATATATTATGTAGGTAGCCTAGTGATTTAGCGGTGCGAAAAAACAAGTAATGAGATGATGCGAACCGCATCATAATGGCAAATGAGGTAATGTTTAGTATTACGTAGTATTTACGTGTTGATGTGCTCGAACTTGCGTCAGCCAGACAATTGATGTGTTGGATACATTATCTATTCACCAGTTATGTTCTGTCTAATTATGTCCCACACATATGTGATAAATACTAATGTTAGATATACTTGATGAGAACCATTACTGCATATTATACATGAAAACACAAATGACTTCAGATGAATTATGTTTTAAATTATGTTTGCAGTTATTAATGTATTTAAATTGTTGTCATTTATATTTTTTTTTTTAATATATTGTATTTTTTCAATTTCTCTTGCTGATTTAATTGTCATATAAAGAAAACTTGAAATTCATTTTTTAGTGTAAATGTATTTGAATTTCAATATACATCAGTATAAATATAAAACATGTAAAAGGCTACTAATTAAAAGTTTGAAAATCAACAAATTAAATAGTGTAATTGGTAGAACAATAAAAATAAGGAATAATGATCACTCTCAAACTACACATTTTTCTGTCATTAAAATAAAAAAAACACTTAAAGAATATAAGACCTTAACTACATTTTATCAATTTCTTTTAGTACTTTTATAACATCCACAAAATTCAAATTTGTGAATTTAAGTATTTGAAGAAATGAAAACAAAGGGTAGTATTAACACTCTGTATCTCATGAAATATGTTTTTGTTCTGATGTTTATAAGATTTTAATATATGTCAATATTAATAAAAAGTATGAACAACAAACATCTTGAAACATGAAATGTCATAAGGAAAACCGTAAATAAAAATTTTTAAATCACAATAACAAACTGCACGTTTTGCACAAAATTATGATTCAAAGACACAACATTAATATGAAAATTTATAAATAAAATAAACCTCAACTTTATTCTATCTAATATTTAATAAAATTTCATGTGTTCTATAAAAAAAAAATGTGTATCGCCACTTCACAGAATAACGTATTGGCGAATTAAATATTTGAAGAAATTAGAATGAAAAGTAACATTACTATTCTGTATCTTCATCCCACTGATATTTTCGACCCACTTGTACCTGTATCTTATGATACTTATTTATGTTTCTATAACCTAGTTTCATTGTAAAACTACATATTTGTATTCATGATAGTTCAACTTTCATTCAGTGCTGTAGAAAATGAAAGGACGGGAAGTAATTGTGACCTTTGGAAAAAAAAATTAGGTATACATTTTTTTCCTATGTAAGATATACTTTTGATATTGAAATCAGATGTCCATTCTTATAAAGTTTTTGGTATTTGACAGTGTACAGTTAAAATAAAGCTAGATCGTGAATTTTTTCTGGGAGATTAAACGACTTAGACATTGTTTTTTGTATGAATTTGATTGGAAGTAGAGCAGTTCAAATAAACTAGGCTATCTACACAGAACATGCAACCTTAATTCTGATAAATACTCAATGTATTGTTTGCAACAAGATCATTTAATACAATTATATCTTTAGTGTATAATATTATGGTTATTTAAAATCGATCAATTTTTTTTTTTTAAATTTTACATTATCAGTTGTTCATTGTGTAGTTTTAGATGACTAAGACAGGAAAGAAAGGTGCATTATGGGATAGAAATTATATTGCATTGAGATTGGAGTTGGTAATGATAGAAGGAATTTATGTCTTGTGTTATATACATTGAATATAAGAGATAGGAGCCTGTTGGTAAAACCTTGGGTCAAGGGTCATTCTAATCCTCAAAATGTCCATCTCTTTCTGTGCCTCCTAATAAGTTTATAAACACAAACTATAATAAATTATATATTTAAATTACTTTGTATATATATATATATATTAAAGCAAGTTGTCACTTTCAATAAACAAATAAATATTCTCCTTGTCAATTAACATAATAATTTTGTTATGTATGCTTTGTATAGATCTTTTTATTGAATGGTGGTAATCAATTTTAAATATTTATGTAATATGTTTGTAAATTAGCAAAACCCTAATTGCTTCAATCTATTTCTCATTTGAAGATGATGACTCATCTCATTTGTAAGTCTTGTCCACATTATCAAATTTTATTTGACAAAAAACATTTAAAATGCCTAAATATGGTCATGATGACATCATTATGGTCATGATGACATCATCATGACTTTTTGATAATCTGGATAGAGCTGTATGATAAGGCAAATGTTTTTTTGGGAAGTGGTTTTTCCGATTTTAACATAAATAATAGTTAAATTAGTGGCCAACTTTTAAAAAACAAATAATGTTATACCTTTTACCTTGTAATTGCCGCTTCCAAAACATCCACCAGGGATTATAACCAGAAGTTTGATGGGAGTTCAGTATTATATTAATATAATTTATGAATGGTTTCACTGTTTTTCAGATGATATGAATCGGGAAGGATCTCCTAAAGATGGTGATTTGCGGAAACAACTTCAACTTCAATTAGAATATTATTTTTCAAGGTACGTTCTTTAATTTTGGTTTTTGATGCCCAAAACCAACCTATCAAATGGTTTATTAATTATGATGTAATCGTCATATCATTAATATTTATCTTTCTTTTCCCTGTTTTTTTGTGGTTTAGTCATTTTCATCTCGATAATTGTATTTACGTTTCGTTAGGATTGGCATATTTTTGTTATTACAATTATAAAAAAAATGTTTTTAACATTTCAATGATGTTACAAAGACTGGTTTTAAAACCTTAATTATTAAATGTAATACCTTAGATTGAGAACTGAATATGGGGCAAATAAAAAAAATATTGACCAACCAACCATGATATCTAAATACCACTGTGTCTGGGTAACATATCCCATCTTTATTTTCATTGTCTTTACCACCGTCTTATTTTTCTACATAAATATCTTTTTTTTTTTTCATCTCTGTTTTCATTACTATTATTCATTTACATCATTTTCTTCAACCGTGTCATTGCCAATTTCATTATCATCCTGACTTCATTTTATCATCATTTTATTTTTATCATCAAAATTAATTTTCACGGCATTTTCCTTTAGTTATTTTTCTCTCGTTATATTCCTCTCTTCATCTCCATCTATCATCATTAACGTAAATTTCTCCATCGTTCCTAACAGCAACACCAATGCCATTTTCCAATCATAGTACACAATTCATTGGACATGCACTAATCTCCATTTTGATTGCTTTTTCTAGAGATTTCATCTTCTTGTGGCATGTTCATTAAACTTCCTCATGTTCATTGTCCATATTATTCTACGTGCTCTTCAATAGAATCTAAGAATTAGCATTCATGATAAAATATCACACACTGCATTCACACACACAAACTATGATCAATGGAAACTGTACTAATTCAATGACAAGTGTGAACACAGCTTGGGACAGGCTTTTGTGCAGAGGTTGTTTTTTTCAGGTGAAGGATATGTTATGTAACAAAAAAAAGATATCAACAAAAAGCAAATAAGTAACACAGAATGATGAATGGTGGTGAACAATAAAAGTGTGAGTGAAGCATCTGGAAGTGGATACTAACATAAGATTGTACTACAAATTGATATTATAGATTAGGTATAAGCGTTATTGTTGTTGTTTTGAAGTATTTATTCTGTTAGTGTGTATTCATTATTTGATGCCTCCATACAAAACATCAATACCTCTTGATCTTTGGATTTGTTTTGTGCATAATGTTGACATAGAAATCATAATATTTGATATTATGTACCAAGGGTGATCCATCCATATTAGGCCTAGTAAGAAAAAAAATACTTGATTAGCATCTCTTCCCTATCGTCAATTCATTGTGTAGGATGTTATAATATATAAGCCTTTACTTACATAGAATTGGAAAAAAAAATGATACAAATTGTATACAGTAGAACGTTTGTTGTGATATTTGTTAATGCCTAAAAAGTGTTATTTACTTAAAGAGGAAGATTACCCATGCAATTTCAGGGTGCAAAACTAGCGCTCGCCAATGCGAGTGAAACAAAAATTTGGCGAGCGATATTCCATCCCCACTCGTCCGCATGGGCGAGTGAAAAATCCAAAAAAAAAAATCCGCTTGAATTTTAGCTGTTAAATTAGCATGCATACAACACAACATACCATACTATACTATATAATTCTCAAGTCAAGGAGGCTTTCTAACAGGCTTCTGCAAATTCAGTGTTTATTGGCTTCACAGATGTGCATGCGACAAATTTTACTTCTCTTTTAATCATCGTATTCATCTTTAAAAGTCAACATATTGATTGATTGTTTTATTGAATGATATATATATAATAAACAACTATCTATGGAAGTTATGTTGGAGTAAAATCCACAATCTAGGTATTTAAGAAGGTAAAAACATCCGATAAAAAGCAAGTTTGTGTGGGGCCTGGAGTGGGATCAGAATGCTCAGCCCACGAATTTCACGTCGGCAATCGGCAATTGCCGACCATATTGCCGAGCCAGAATTGCTACAGGACGGCAATTTTTTGCTGACCTAGGCTTAAATTTCTTTGCTTCAAAAACTGCTTGGAAAGTCAAAAACAGGCTATAGCAGACACTAAATTTCATGTACGTCGTCAAACCAAGGAAATTGGTGGTTCATAAAACAGATTTGTTTGTACAATAACTATCACAAATTTTTGCCAACCTAATTTTTTCCTAATTTCATGGGCTGGAATGCTTAGAAACTGCCTACTGTAGGCCTAGGTCCCCTCAGACTTAGCTGCGTAGGCCTGTGGGCCTAGCCTAGACCTAGTTTATGCCAGTGTAAGTAGTACCAGTGCAAATATATAGGAATTTGGGTCAACCCCGATTTTACGAATACCCGCAATTACAAACGGCTCTGGGCCCATGTCGTACATAATTTAGGGGGTCTACTGTATATTGCACTGGCACACTCAAAATTTTCTTATCCTTTGTTAGGGTTGTAGTGCGTCTTCACTGATAATCACAGAAAGAACTTACTGTAATTATACTGACTGTACTCTATAAATAAATTCAAAATGGAAAGAGAATAAGTTGGGTTATTACGATGAAATTAGCTAGAAAGCAGTCTTTTTTTACCGCCAGTTATTGGTATTTTATTTTTGAAAATGTCGTTATTTTTGTACTAAGTGATATTTTTAAAACGACTTCCTCCATCTGATAAAGGAGGGTTGACTGTTGATGATGTTTGTTTAACTAGTCAATTGTTGCGAGCATCGACATCCCACAATACATTTTATGGATTCTGTGAAGTAAATTCTTTTCAGTTGGCAAACATAGAAGATGTAGCAGGTGGTATAAAGCAACTAGTAAGGTGTCACAGATCTACTCCAGCATTTGCACGTCATTGCATCCAATTTGTAGCCATCGATAATTTTAAATATAGCATGTTGGATTAAATAAACCTACAATTGACGTACTTACAATTATTACAATTGTTAGCTTATTAGTGATTAGGTTGTTTTAACTCGGAGAGACCTCTAAGAACAGTGCATCTAGGCTTATTGTATAGGTACAGTTGCTAAACATTTGGGAATTCTCAGTGCAAAGTGGATTCCATCAAGTTTGATTATTTTAGGTGTGTATTTCGCCATATAAAGAATTTAAAAATTTGGGTTCGGAGAAGGGGTAGGGCATGAAGGGGATTTATTTGTACAAGGGATGTGGCCATATTGTATCATTCTCTTTGATAATAATTTTTTTAATGTATAAGCCTATCCTTCCATTGATTCAGTTACTAAATTTGTGATGTTTTATGTTATTTTAAGGGATTTTCTTTTATTTCATTTTAATTTATTTTTTGGAATGTGGTCAGGCTTACTTCATATAATTACAATGTTGAATAATGATAAACAAATAAGAAAGCACTGTGATAGATGCTTGTATTAACTACTGAATCATACTCGTGCCAATCTATTACCATATATTTCTGAGAATTTCCATCAAGTTGGTTGTTAGCAAAATTTATTCACTATTAGACTAATTACTACTGAACCATTAATATTTTTTGTGCTTCAAAATAGCGTACTTAACATCATTATAGCCAGTGGCAACATAAAGCTTCATGTACAAAACAAAAAATATCACATTTCCAAAATCATAAAATCATTTTGGAAATTAACTTGCTCATTTTGAAGTGACATTTTAAACATCAACTTGCATATATTATTTCATACTGTATAACTGTTCAATTTCAAAGACATTACACATTATATTAACTGTTGCTGAAACTGCCTGGCGTTAAAGGATCTGTTAATGTTTACATTGAATTTTTTTTGTGATAGTAATTTTTTTTTCCCTTACATAATGTGTTTATGTAACTCTACCACAATAAAAAAAATGTTATAAATAAAAAAAAAATCAGCATCCTGAATAATATTGCTATCAGTATTAACCATCATCACCGTGAATATTAGGCCTAACATCATATATCAACCTAATTATGTAATAATTGTTATCGCCATACTTTTCCAACATAACTTTATAATTTTTGTTACCATAAATATTACAATAATAATGTAATGTATTGCATTGTCTTCCCTCATCATCAAATTCTTTATATAATTTATCAAAATCATCACAGACATTATGATTACCATATCTAGTATTATTGTTGTCATGTAGCTCAACATTTTTATCATTAACATCATTCCTTACTCAATTATCATATCAGCATATCATATCATTTACCATATTTATTCGAATAAACGCCCCTCCTGGCTCTTAGAATTTCACATAGATTCTATAGTGACACTAGATGCTTGGTGTGTCATGTGACATGGCAATGTGACATACTGGAATGCACAGCTTTAGAAATACATTGACAACAGGAGGTTCTAGTGGGGATTTCCCTAAATTAAACTGCATATAAGCCCACAAATACCATTAGTTTACCATGGTATTTACCCATGGTTAATAGTGGTTTGATAAGAAAGTTTTTGTTATGATATATTTTAAAATTATATGCATTCTGTTTTGAAAACTTTGTTCACATTCAGACCTTCTCATAGCTTCTTCCTTTTATTCGTCTTCTCTTAACATCATCTTTCCTAGTTCCTTCTCTTTTCCCTTCATTTATTTTATGCCTTATTTTATCATTCTATCTTTCTTCTATGTACTCCACTTAGGCAAGAAGCTATAGAATAACAAGACTACATTGTTGTGATACTAAAACTATTTCACATGCTGTGGGTTAATGTTGCTACATTAAACTCATTATAGTAACTTAGCTTGAGGTATGCTACTTAAATTGACATCTCAAGTACCAGTAATTTAAGTTATTCTTTGTAGCTAACAAACTGTTTTCATTAAACATAATAAACACTTCCTTTAAGTTTTCATTTTTTATTAGCCATTTTCTGAAGTAATTTTCTAAAATGTTTATACTGCCAGTATATAGATATTTATATTTGTATTTCTCATGTTATTGGAAAATTTAAATCAGTATTTAATTAATGGATGTGTTATTGCCACGGTGATAAAGGGATTTTAATTGACCAGA